AGAGATTTGTTGATTTTTTTTGAAATTTTTGGTTTGTTTTTTACTTCCATTTCTTTAAGGGGGTTTCTCATATCCTCTTTGTGGGCCTTTATCATATTCATGAGGTTGTTTTTAAGGCCATTCTCTTCTGCTTCATCTGCATTGGTATGTTCAAGTCTTGCTGGTGTAGAATCCCTAAACTTTTGTGGTGTCACATACATCTTTCTGTTGTTGAATGTCTTCCTATTTCTTATTCCAGTGGGTACAGGTGGTGTCTTTCCCTCTCCTAGTGGGTATAGGTTCAAGGCTATATCTTGTCCTCTCTCCAGGAGTGTGTAGGGGCAAGACAGGATTGGCAGCTGATGCTGGATGCTTTGTTCTGCCTCTGGGTCCCCCCCTTTGTCTCTGTCTCTGTCTCTGTCTCTCTCCCAGAGAGTAGAGGGGCAAGATGAATGGTAGCTAATGCTGGATGCTTTGTTCTGTATTTTGCTTATGTTTTAATTGCAAAGGTGTATAAATCAATGGCTACACATTTCTTTCTTTTAGTGTCTGGTTATGCTATAATTTTGACTGAGGAAAGAATTTACAGTTATGATATTAAAATGAAGATTAAGGTCTTTGATATAAACTATATTACACTAAATGACTGATATACTCTATATAGAAGTAATTTAATGAAATATAGAGAACTGAAGTGAACTTTTATGAATTGCATATTCACTAAATAATTTAATAATAAATGGGGAAATATTTTAGAGATAAGATTTTTCTTGTTTAGGCAACTAACACTAATGTTTGATTTTGTAGGAAGATATTATATGCTTTGGCCATTCAACTTGTATATCATTTACCCTAATTAATAGCTGAAACCCCCCCCCTTATTAATTTAAATTAGAAACAAGCTTGCTTCACATGTCAATCCTAGCTCCCTCTCCCTCCACTCCTCCCCCACCTCCCACCAACCCCCCATCTCCTTACCCAGCCCCCATTATGCTCTCCAGGGTGGGTGAGGCCGGCCCTTCATGGGGGAATCTCCAAAATCTGTAATATCATCCATGGCAGTGCCTAGGCCCTCCCCCATGTGTCCAAGCTAAGAGAGCATCCCTCCATGTGGAATGGCCTCCCATTCGGATGCCAGGGATAAATACTGATCTAGTATCTGAGACTCCAGAAATTGCTGAGGCCTCCTTGCTGACACCCACATTCAGGGAGTCTGTATCAGTCCCATGCTAGCCTCTCAGTCATCAGTCTGGGGTCCATGAGCTCCCCTTGTTCAGGATTTCACCAGCCCAGTCTTGACCCCATTGCTCATCACTTCTCCCTCTCTGCAACTGGGTTCCAGGCGTTTATTTCAGTGTTCAACTGTGGGTGTGCATCAGCCACTGGATGAAGGCTCTAGGATGGCATATAAGGTAGTCATCGATCTCATTATCGGGGAAGGGAATTTAAGGTAGCTTACTCTTGCTACTATTGCTTAGATTGCCAGTTGGTATCATCCTTGCAATTATTAAAAAACTTTTACTGTGGAAAATGAAAACTGTATATCATGGAGCATGAACATAAAGAACTAAGGACCAATAAGACACAAGATGAATACTGTTGTCTTCATATTAGAAATGTTGATGAGTTGACTTTTTAAAGTTTTTTTATCCATTTTAATCACTGTCCATGCTTTGAATATTATCAATGATTTCAATTACATACTCTAAAATAATTATTAAATCTTCTCTGGTCCTTATGCACATTCTATAGCTAGTCTACTTATCAACTCCTATGTCTACTTACAGTCACCTATTACTCCACTTTTTCAACCTGGTGTGTGTGTGTCTATGTGTGTTTGTGTGTGGGAGTGTGCATATGTATGTGGGGTGTGTGTGCTGGGATCACAGGCAGCTGTCACACCTCCCTGGCTATCCTGGTTCTGATCCCCAGAAACCATTCTCAATAAGCCACCTGCCAGCCCATGGCTAACTTTTAAGTTTAGAATTTGGTAATAAAATCCTCCATATTTTCCCAAATTCTTCCTCCCAGGAGATGAAGAGTCAGACCACTTTCCATTCCAACCACAAGAGGCTCTGTGTACCGACCACAGCAGTGCTGTGTATTTCACACCAATAACTTTATCTTTGAGCATACCCAAGACCACTATATTGGAATCATTCTCTCTCTGTCACTTTATATTAAAAATGATTCATTCACATCCTATTCCAAAGTTTTATGAGAAACATCTTAAATAAAAAGGTATTAATTCACTGTGAAAATACTTTTGCTGAAGGAAGTGTAGTTTTCCATAAATGTCTAATTTGCAAAGAGGCCATGATGCTGCAAATTTAAAAAGAGGGAATATTCCAATGGTTAATAGGGAGGGTCTCTTTCTGAGTAGGACAAGAATCTTAAGTCTTCCCATGTGTAAAACTGAACCAATAGGGACAATTCTACTTTCAAATATATCTGTTTTTCTGTTGACTTCTAATAATCTTTATACAGAAGAATGCTGGCAGGTGAGCAGCAGAAGAATTCTTTACAACAGTTACATTGTGCTTTTAATTCCATGCATCCAAGCAACCAGAGATAGAGTGCATGAGCTCCATCTACTTGAGCAAAGACACGTTTAGAACTGCGGATGCAGTTCAGACATTTCCCTGACAGGTGTGAAGCCCTGGGTTCATTATTTAGTAATATTTGTGTTGCACATAGCTATATAGATAAATTAATAGTCTATTTTATGTTGTGTTCTGTGCAAAGTGGGTAGAGAGTAGATGGCATCTTTTGGCATGTGGATCCAGTTTTTCTTTATAATCGTCTGAAAGACTGTCTTTTCCCCATTGAGTTTTCCCAGAACATTTGTTGAAAATCAGTTCACCATCAATGTAAGAGTTTATTTCTGTGCTTTCAAGTCTGCTTCATTGATTTATATGTTTCTCCTGGTCAATATCACATTATGTTAATAGCAATCATTTTATAATAGGATCATTTAAAAAACTAGATCACTTCTTACTGTGAAGCCCTTGCTGGCTTGCAATCCTGAAACTTCCTGTGTAGACAAGACTAGCCCTCAAACTTTTGGTATAATCTTCCTGCTCACACTTCACAAGAGCTGGGAGTTCAGTTGTTTGCTATAATGATCGTCCTGTGTTAGGCTTTGAATATAAAAATATAAGCTACTGCTGTCTTATTAGTTTTTAAACTTGTTTTGGCATCCTAGGTCTTTTTTAATTTCACATAAAGGTTTAGGAATATTTTACCACCTTCTGCCAAAAGTCCACTAAAATTCTGGTATGAATCATGTTGAATCTCTGAGTTAACTAGGGAGAATAACCACCTTAGCAAATGCAACTTTTTCTTCCTTGTAGCTAATATGTGAACTCATCTTTCTGATTGTCTAGCCCTGACCTACTGTCTTTTGAAGGTAATCTGTCCTCATTTTCCTGCACTTTGGACTCCTTTTAAAGTCATTCTCTCTGCTTTTGGCTTTAAACAAGTTAACACTGATATGTTTGGGTATGAATGGATTCCTTTTCATTTATATTGTTTAAAAGTTTATGCCTTCTAGAATATGTGAATTGGTGTCTTTCACCAGTTCTGAAAATTTTATCTCTTCAAGCTCTCTCTCTCTCTCTCTCTCTCTCTCTCTCTCTCTCTCTCTCTCTCTCTCTCTCTCTTTCTCTCTCTCATATATATACATATATATGTGTGTATGTATATGTATGCATATATGTATGTATGTATATATGCACACATCTAGTATCAATTGTATGTACACCAATCAAAGAAAAATATAATGCAATGTCTCAGTAATAGCATTGCTGTTTTTTTCTTTCTTGTCAATGCTGGGCTCAAATGCAGGGCCTTGAGCTAATACAGAACTCCTCCCTCAGTCCAGTAACATATCATGTATGAATTATTTCATGTGGATTCTGGATGCTTTTAAATTTGTGGTTTTCTCAAAGTAAATGTTTTCTCAGTTATACTGCTTGACATAAGCAAGAAGTAATGGCATAGCTTTGTATTTTTAAAATTTCCTTATTGGATCCTGTGGACACAGTTGTCAGTTTGTGGATATATAACCCACTTCATTGTGGTGATCATTTTGATTATGAACACATGCTTTTGTAATGTCAGTGTGGGTGCCCCTCTATCTACAGTCTATTTTGTAAAATTACTTAATTTTATGTGGATCTGTGTGTTTCTGAGTGTACTACATATGTCCGCATGGGCATGCCGTGGCAGAGGACATCAGAAGAGGGATCTAATTTTCTGGAGCTGGTGTTGTAGACTGTTGTGAGCTACTGTGAAGGTGCTGGGAATTGAACCTGGGTCATCTGCAAGAACAGTAGCCTCTCTATAAAGACTTTAAACAAACTTTTCCAAGCTATAGTAGACATTACAATAAACTGAATGTGCCTCCTAAAATTTTTGTCTTGGTACCCAACCTCCAGTCTTGTGCCAAGAGGTAGAGTGCTTGGGTCATGAGGATTCTGTCTTTGTGAATGCATTAGTGCCATTAACTAGGAAGCTGGTTAGTACCAAGGGAGTAGGATTGTTATAAAAGTGAGTTTGGGCGGGCAAGGTGGTGTCCACATTTAGTCTCAACACTCAGGAGGCAGAGGCAGGAGGAGCTTTGTGAGTTAAAGGCCAGCCTAGTCTACAGAGCAAAGTCTAGCACAGCCAGAGTTACATGGAGAGACCCTGTTTCAAAATAATGATGATAATGATGATGATGATAATGATGATAAACAATGAAGTAGTTTGGCTTCCTTTCATGCCCCTTCTCTTTTTTTGCTTTCTCGTTCTCTTCTGCTGTCATTAGATGTCTCGTTCTCTTCTGCTGTCATGATGACCACAGCAGGAAGGCCCTGTCCAGTGCTGGTCTCCACTTCATTTGTTGCAACTCCTGAATTTTAAAAAAGATTTTCTTTCTTTGTGTATGACACAAAGGTGTCTAAGACAATCATTTTTTAACAACGCTAATATATAGCTCTCAAAGTCAGTTCAACAACAAAATCGACTTCCTTTTCTAGTGACAGACAGAGCGTGCACATCAGCTACTGTGGCAGCAACATGAACAGCACAGATATAACAAGACTGCTTCACGGCCAGAAGTCACTGTCAGAAGCCCCCAGTGTCCAGGTGCAGCTTGAGCTCACAGATGTTTTAAAAGGTCTGTAAGTCATCACTGATGAAATGTTTGAGTGCTTCTGCCTGCAAGCTTTCTGGGACTGAGGATGACTGCATATTTAGGGCTCCTCCCCTTCTCTACATGCTGGTCTTAGATGGTTTCCTGCAGTTTCTTCTGCTTTCTCCTCCACTTCATTCACCCTCTCTTTCTGGGTTTAATCCAATGCTGAAGAAATATATTGAATTTTAAATTTTGCTGATTATGTTTTCCATTTCTAGACATTTCATTTGGATATTTATCAAAATGCTTTTCACTCTTATACTTTTCTATCCTTTGTGTCATTTAAAATGATAGCAAGCACAGTCTCACATGAAAACTCTAGTGTTTGGTCTCTCTCAGTTGTCTTTTATGACACTTTGGAACCCCTAAAGCTTTGTATCTTTGGAAGTGTATCTTTCTCACGACTCCTGCTACATTACCTGATGCATTTTAAAGGCTGACACTAAAGACAGCTTCTTTTAGGAGGAATTTGCACTCGGTTTTTGCTGTCACTTTGGATTATTAGTCAGCTTTTTAGTTTAGCATTCCCTGGCCATGGAGCTGACAAAACCATAGCCAGCAAATGTCCATGAGTGCCAAGACAGAGGTCACTCTTTCTTAAAAACCTTTGTTTAAACCTTATGGGTGTGGGACAGGCTTCAGTCTAGTGGTAATATTTAAATTTTATTTATTAGTTATTATTATTGCGGTGCAGACATGATGGTATGTGTGTGTTGTGGGTCAGAGGAGGTGGGCACACACAGGGCATGTGTGGAAGTCAGAGGACCACCTGTGGGGTTTGTTCTCCCTTCCACTCCACATGGCCTCTGGCAGCAGAACCCAAGTAGCTAGTCTAGTTATCTAGTCTTTTTAACTCCAGCTTAATGTGAAGAAGATTTTTCTTCCTCTTTTTATTTTAGGTGAGCTTTGACTTCCAAACCCCTTGCACTCAGTGTTGCAGGATTGAGGCTTAAGGTTGTCAATGGGCAAATGCATTTAAGGAAAAATTGCTTGATGTATTTGGTATTCTGTTCATTAGAGAAGTGAATGATTTGTTTTGTTGCTTCATCTAGAATTCTAATCACAGTTCCTCATTATTTTGAAAGTTCACTTCTTTAAGTTGGATGTAAAAGATTTTCTTCATTTTCAGGGATTTGGGAGCATGTTTGTTGGATATATTGAAGGTCTTGGTTGGACTTCCATAACCATATGGATGAAATTTGTATGTTTCAGTAGGAGGATGGATACAACTATGATTTTAAACTTCTCCAGGGGATATTTGTAATGTCTAGAAACATGTTTAGTTGTTGAAACTTGTGGAAATCCACTGTTACTTAGTTGGGTAGAGACTAATAATGTTAAACATATTCTATAGTCAGCCATCTACAGTGAAAGAATTATTTGCCCTCCAATATTAATAATACCCAGTTCTAAAACCCAACTTCTGTTTCTAACAATAAAACTTCAAGAAGAGGATTTATAATTTCCAAATTGGGAAAGATTAATGAATTATCATACTTTTACAAATTTTATTTTATACTAAGTAATTTATATTAAAATATCTTATTCAAATTACAGAAAATTTTCTAAGCAAGTTTTCTTTTTTTTCTTCATGATTGTTGCTGCTAAGGTCACTTTTTCCCCATGTTTTTATTTATTTACATGTATGTTTTATTCTAACGCTAATTAGCAGAACAAGGTAAGAGGAGTGACATGCTAGCATTCCTGTAGGCAATCTGATGGGAAAATTTCGTAACTGAGGCTCCCTCTTCCCAGATGACTCTTGCATATGTCCAGTTGACAAGACCAACCCAAACCAGGACACTTAGAGACCTTTATGGGTTTGTACTCAGGTGAAAGTCTTGTTTTCCTCATTGTAGGTCTGTCTCTGCTTCCGGGAGAGCAGTTTTACAGAGTAGTTCATACAGGACAAGGAGATTAGGGAATATATAGATTTTATTTCTAGGGAAGGATTGATCCAAGCCTAGTATCTATTAATATAGGACTAAGGGAAAGGTTGAGGGGCAATGGTGTTCATCTTCTATTACTTTTAGTTATACTCTGAGTATAAATTCTTGTTCAGGGTATCCAAGATAAAATAGGAAGGCCTGCATAGGGTACTTTCCATTCCAATAAAAAATTGAGTTGGTAATTCCAGCTGAAGAGGGCAGGCATGTATAAGACAGTTATTAAAGAGGAAACCTTGCCACCAGGATTAAGACCGCAGTTATCAGGATCAGAGTTATGACTTCTACTGGTAAAGAGCAAGAGACCACGGCTTTACACATGCCTTGGAGGAGAGAAGAATGACTGTGAGTGCTCATTCATTCTGACTGGGGTGCGTAAGCAGCAAGGGAAACCTCAGAGACTTCATGGGAACGGTTTGTGGCTCAGGAGGAGGCAGGCTTGGGAGACAGGATAGAAACCACCTGATGGTGGTTTATCCCCTCACCTCCCACTCTCCCCCACTTGAGTGTGTCAGATAAGTGAACAAGAAGAGCTGAGTGTGCCCTGAACTGGCTTGAGTACTATTTCCCTCACTGAAGATGAGCTCTGGAGCTCAGTTACACAGGTAACTGCAACCGATCCTGGAGGAGGCGGATGCAAACATTGTTGGTCACTCACATGGGGCCGGAGGAACCCGAGATGGGAGTAAAATGAAGGCTAACTTTAGGAAGCATTTGAGGCATTTGTCTGTAAGCCATTAAAATGAAAGCTCGATTTCTTTTATAGAACCAGGAATATGTATGCAGGGTGGAGCAGAACCCGTCTTCCTACACTGGTAGTCCTAGGTGGTCCCTGTTACAGAATCTCTCAATTCTAATTGAGTCATAGTATTTTCATTGCACTTTGTACTGGCTAAAAAAATGTATATTTTTCTAGATTTTAAAATTTTTTTGAAAGGAAGAAAATTTGCTTTTCAGTTTGCATATCTGTAAAGTAAGTTCATGCATTAGACCACAGTACTTTACTAAAATTATAGAAGGTTATTTTTGAATTAAGACTAAAGTAATTGTGACAAACTATCACTATTTGCACTATGAAGGAACACTGAGGGATTGAATATAGTTTTTAGTGTTGGAATGTCAGAGAAGTAAATAGATGCTAGATTTCATAAGAAACCATCCCCTTGAGCCATTTGGTAAAACATTAGAGCCACAGAGGCTGGGTGTCTTTGCAAGCTGCTCTTGAAATGTAAAGAGAGAAATGAAAAGATCCAGAAGGGGCTGTATGAAGAGCAGGCTTCAGCACTCTGGAAGCAATGTTCACTGGTGATGCTTCCTTTGCCCAAAGACACCCAATGTGGATGCTTCTTCATTGTCTTTTTTGTGACCTATTTACCCCCATCTCCACATACATTTTTGCATATTTATTAAACCAGAGATGGTGCCAGTAATGGTTTTAAACTGTCCAGAATAAACTGACTACATAGGAATTTATTAAGTTAATTGACCTCCTTGAATGCATTTATAGTTATGAGACATATTCTAGGAGCCAGTGTTCTTGTTTATTTATTTATTTTATTCATACTATGCTTTCTAAAAAACCTCATGGGTTTTCTAGTCTGGATATAGATACATTGTTTTATTTTGAATCTGTCTCTTTTTATTCTTTGTTTTTCCTCCCCTCCTGTTTTTGTTTTATTAAAGCAGATTTATCCTATTGCATATTAATATTATTTTAAAGGTTAAGGATGCCCATGTTATTACAGAATTAAAATTCTGTAATATTAAAATTCTCTATTCTTCTATTGCAAAAACTTTTCTTAGTAATTCCATTTCTCTTTGAATTTTGTCTTTAAATTATTTGTGCTGAAGATAATTTTTTTCATCCAGTATATTCTGATGATGGTTTCTCCTCTCTCATCTCCTCCTAGATTCTTCCCCTCCTTCTCTTCATTTCAATGCCACATCTTCTTCTTCTATTTCTTAAGAAAACAAACATGAATAAAAAGAAACAAGCATAAAACAAACAAAAAGAAACAGCATGTAGAATGCATATCTCCACCTACACACCATAGAAATTCAAAATAAAAAACTGTAATATACAAGCAAAATACCTGTAAGATTAAAAAAAAAAGCTCCCAAAAGCATTTTGAGGCAAAACATCTCCAAAGGCACTTTGAATTGGTTTTGTGTTGGCCACCTCCTTTTGGCCATGGGGGTCTGCCCTTTGCTGTGGTTTATATACCCAGTAAGACTCCAGCAGAGAGAACTGAGTTTTCTTTGGTGTGTGGTTGTCAGTTGCAGATGGCTTCTGAGTTAGGGATGAGAGCTTGTGTCCAGTTCCTTTCTTAGCATTGGGATACCCTCTAGCTTGGACTTCCGCATGTTCTGTGCGTGCTGTCACAAGTCTCCGTGGGTATGTGTGTGCCTTAGTCCTGTTGCGTCTGTAAAGCATGTTTCTCTGATGTCTTTCGTCCTCTTTGGCTTTTACAATCTTTTCCCTTCCTCTTCAGCAAAGTTCTGTGAGCTCTGAGGGGAGGGGTTTGATGAAACCACCACATTTAAGACTGAGGGTTCAGAACCCGGTGTTGGTGGCACAGGCCTTTAATCTTAGCACTTGGGAGGCAGAGGAAGGAGGATTTCTGTGGGTTCGAAGCCAGCCTGGTCTACAGAGGGAGTTCCAGGACAGGCTCCAAAGCAATACAGAGAAACCCTGTCTCAAAAATCAAAACAAACAAACAATCAAAAAACAAACAAACAAAAAGACTGAGCGTTCCAAGGTTTCTCACTCTCAGCACTCTGATTTAGTTCCCATCTACTGCAGGAGGAAGCTTTCCCGTAGATGGCTGAGGGAGTTGCTGACCTATGGGTATAACAGAATAGCATTAGGAGTCATTTTATTGCAATGCCCATTTAGCAGAACAATAATATTTTCTTTTTTTTCTAGGTTCACATCTATTTAATCTCAGGTTCTTGCCCACCTGAATGGTGTCAGACTTGAGTTCCATCTCACAGGGTAGGCAAGTGGGCCTTAGTTCCCAGTCAGATAGTGGCTGG